ATCTGCGGGTACTGTGATCGTTTGAAAAAGTAAAAATCCCTAACAAAGGCATTTAGATTGTGAATTTGATTGGTCTTCGTGTCAACGAGAAAGTACTCGTTGTGCTTTCCCTCGTCAATGCCAAAGAAGTCTAGGCTATCTGTGAGAATTTGCGAAAACTGAGTATCTTCGTGAATGGGAAACTGCGACGGAATGGAGCTGGCGTCCGGACCGTGAACGATGATCTTTTTGGCACTTGGAACATTGGCAGTGATGAGTATAGTGGCGTCGCACTGCTCCTTGCGCAGAATTTGCTTGAGATCCTTGAGGAAGAGGCCGTAGACGTTGGGCACCACCAGCCAGATGACGGTCATCACCGAGGCAATGATCTCCTGCGAGTCCTCGTACGGCGTCCGCACGTGGTGCATGATGAAGCCGGTGAGGTAGTTGTACATGGTGAAGGCCGCCTGGTTGGGCAGCCGGGGCAGAAAGCGAATCAGCCGCCGCATCGTCTGTATGATGGTGGACTTCTTCTCGCGCGTCAGCCGCTCGAGGAGGTTGCGCATGAAGAGCGCCGGCTCCTCGATCAGACACTGCCAGACGACCTTGTGGGCGACCTCGTAGACGGCGGTGCCCTCCCCGTTCACCTGGTTGTCCTCCAGCAGGTTGATCACCTGCACCGAGGCAGTGGTCAGGCAGGAGGGGAAGAAGCACTGCGCCACCTGCATGTGGTGCAGCGGAATGCGCTCAATGTCGTCCTCGTTGTCGTCTTGGTCCTCCACCGAGTGGAAGAGCGCCGGCTCGTAGGAGGCCTGCAGGGTGAGCGGCACGCCGTTGAAGCGGTACGTCTCCCGCTCCTCGCGCAGCTTATCCTCCTGCTCCTGCAGCGCCCGCGCCACCAGCTCAATCTGCTGCTTGCGCCGTGTTTTAGTGGCGGCGACGAATGACTTCTGAATGGCCGGCTCCTGGTTGATGGCCACCTCGTCCACCTTCGTCTTGACGATGGGCATGTACGGCGGGTCGACCACTGGTTGGCACTCCAGGGCGATCCGGGGTGATGGAAGGGTGAACTCGATGGCCGCCGGTGGAAGCTTCAGCGAGCCCTGGGCGCCGTCCTCCAGTCGCTGCCAGCACTGATATCGATTGGACCACAGCTGTTTCAGGCAAAAACAAAGTGTTAAATGGAAAAGCAATATTTTTGTTGTTCATTTACCTTGTAAAACTTGTGAATGGTGTTGACGCGCACCTCGACGCTGGCGTTGTTAAGCTCTTTGTTCAGTAGTTCAACGACCAGCTCGGGCACCTTCAGAGCGCAGAGAATGACGGCCACTGAGGCGGCGGATGATATCTGAATGTCGTCCTCTATCACCAGATTCCATGATATTTGGAGCAAGTACTCAAACTGGCTACGATCCAGCGTGAGCGCACTTTTGAGCATCATCGAGATGATCGAGTGAAATGGATTTTTTACCTGGTTCACCATGTACAGTAGTGTCAGGTTCTCCTCCTGTCGGACTTCCATTCGATAGCTGAGCACATCGGAGAAGATGCTTCTCGGGTCTTCCGCCTCAAAGACGCCCATTTCCAGGTCCACCGTATTGTGCACTAGTGCTGTCGTACTGCTGTGCAGCGTGCCGTGATTGTCGCCTCGTTCAGCAGTCTGCTTGTCCATGTTGTGCCCCACTGAAGGCTTCCGTTTCAGCGGAGAAGAGTGACCCATGAGTATCTTTTTCAGCTTCTTCTCCTTTCGAGCGGCATCCTCTTTGTCGTCAAACAGTCGCTGGCTGAAGGCGTCACTGTCCATGAATGACGGCACGTCCTTCTCGTAGATGCGCTGAACCTCTTTGATCAGATACGCCGTCGACTTGATGACCTTCTTGTAGCAATTGCCTGGACAGGAGCAGCTGTGCGTACACTGGAAATCGAGTGTCCTGTTGAGAATAGAGGTGATCTTCAGCCAGGGAATGTTGGTGGTGATCTCTGCATCACTGGCATCCAGTGTGTCGCTGGGTGAGTCGACGCCGTGACCATCGTCAGACATTAGACCGGGTGATTCTTCTCCCGAGTACCTTTCTGATGTCTCTGACATTTCCGACACTCCGCTCGCCTTCCGCCGAGAGTTTGACCGCAGAGAATTAGACCGCTTAAACAGCTCGTCCTCAACTAGCGTTGCTGATCTCAACTTTGCCGTGCCCTTCTTATCCTGCGGCTTCTTCAGTTTGATACTTCTCCGCTTGAAACTGTCATGTCCACTTCCTGTAGAGCGGCGAAGTAGATTGGAAATGCCCACTTGTGAAAGTCGCTTCTTCTCGCGGTTATCGTCTAAAAAAGAAAAATACTTTTAATAAAGCAAACACTGAGAAAGTAGAAAAATCCTCACCGATTGAGGTTATGCTGCTGGAGTCATTCTCCGAGTCGGCCTCGTGCAGTACAAAGCTAATTCTCCGGTCCGCGTGAATGCTGGAGCAGTGGTCGAGCATCGCCTGCAGCCCCGTTGAGCCTCCGCCGCTCAGGTTGGCCAGTGATATGAGACTGTGGGCGTTGGGAGTGCCCATGGGCATGTTGCTCAGCGCCATCGACCACCGGCGATTGGTGTTCACGGGTGGACGGGCGGACGGCTGTGGTGCGGGTGGTGCAGCCACTGAAGCGGCTACCACGGCTGATGACAGTGCCGTAGACGCCTCCACACTGGGCATTCGGTCTCGAGCGGCCAGTGAAGAGCGTCGGGAGCTCTTCGAAGGCAGGTACTGGTGCGTCTCTCGGAGGAAAGTGGTGATCTCGTGCAGCAGCTGACAGGCGAGCACCTTCAGCGCCAGTGGACAGCTGCCGTCCTTCCGACCAGCAGCCGGCACACTGAGAAAGTCGTCCTCTTCCGGCGTCAGTCGCACTGATGTCTTTGACCGACGGCCGTCCTGGAACTCGGTGATTGAGGAGGAGGTGATTGCTGCGCTGGAGGTGATTGCCGCCATTCCACCGCCACCACTGCCAGCTGCGGCAATGGCTGCAGCTGCAGTAGCAGCACTAGTTGCCCCGTACAGCTCAATGTCATTCTGCAAGAGGTCTTCGAGTCGCGAGGAGAGCAGCTCTCCCCACTGGTAGAAGGTCCGTCCGGCGGCTCGCTGGAGCGTCGTCGAGGCTCGGTTCTTGATGACCGTCTGCGAGCTGCGCGACGCACCGGCGCCCATTCCTGAGGGGCGGAAGAAGTTGAAGTTCATGCGCATCCACACCGGCCACTGGCCTCGATTGCAGCGGTGCACAAAGTGGCTGCACTCAATGAGAAAGGCGGCTCGCGAGATGACCGGCGCCTTGAGGTCCAGCATCGCCGCCACCAGTTGAGCATCGGGCAGGGTGCCCGGAGTGCAGGACTCAAGTAGAAACTGAAACTTAAGCATTCCATCTTTGAGAATTTGCAAAGGCACTGTTTTGGACATTCGAATGGTGATCGACTCGTGGCCGCCGTAGTTGGTGCGCTCAAACTCCAGCGAGTTCTTCCGCGACAGGTCGGGCGTTTCCTCGAAGCTGCCCTGCTTCAACTTGTTCTTTCCGAAAACATTCTTAAACTGATCCATGCGTTTCTTCGCTTTCAAGAACTTTGGCTTTTGATCAAGCGTAGTGAGCACCATTGTGTTTTGATTTGGATAATCTAATAAAGTAGTTTCCAAAAATTACGTGAAATTCCTATACNGTTTCAGCTTGTTCTTTCCAAAGACATTCTTAAACTGATCCATGCGTTTCTTCGCTTTCAAGAACTTTGGCTTTTGATCAAGCGTAGTGAGCACCATTGTGTTTTGATTTGGATAATCTAATAAAGTAGTTTCCAAAAATTACGTGAAATTCCTATACTTTGTTCGTAAGTGTACTTACTTTTAATAGTTTGCCTACTGAAGCTCCCTCTTCTACCCAGCTTATCTGACTGTGAATCGGAAATGGCGAGATAGCTTGGAAAGTTTCCATTATCATTGGGAATGTTGTTCAGATCGTAGGGCACTGAGTCGACCTTGCTGTTGGCCTGCTTGAACCAGCTGGGCACTTTGATGCCGGATGGTCGACTGCCTGCACCACCTGCCCTACTCGTCCGGTCGTACTTGGACGTCAGCGAGTCATCATCGGGAACGGGCGAACTAGAGCGCTGTCCACCTCGAGAAGGCCCACCACCACCAGCTCCGGTGATGTCAGTGTTTGAGCAGGTGGCCGGCCAGTCGACCAGTTCCGAGCTGCGATTGCTAGGCGGTGTACTGTGCCTGGTCGGCTGCTTCGGCGTCAGAGCACTGAGCTTCTTCGTGAGCAGCTTCTCATTGACATCACTGAAGGCAAAGGGACTCATGTTGGACTGCGACGCCGAGGTGGTGATGATGGTGGTCGTCTCTCGCATGGCCCTCGAGTACGCACTCTGCACCTTCTCATTCTGCATGATGTACTTGGTGCTCTCAATAAGGCCACTCAAAGCAGTCTAAAAGTGTGTCGGCAAAATAAAATAAGTAAACGTTTCTCAAGGATAGGATAAATAAATCGTACATTTCTAAAAATTCCCCCGTGGTGATCTCGGACGTAGGAGATGAACTGTCGGATTTCGCAGTACAGCGACATGTTCTCCTGCACCTTCAGCTCTTTCTGCACTAGCACCATTCGCATGATGAACGGCTTAAAAATGCACTTGATTATGATCGATTCCACGAGGACCTTTGCAGCTAATAATAATAATGATAATTTAAAGAAAAGTTGAGTGTGGGTGAAAAGAGTGAAACGGCAACGGTGTACTGTAAACAAAGTGCACTAAAACTAGTGCCTCTACACCACTGCTAATGCGTTTGCTGTCTACTGGTACCTTTACTAGAGGGAATATGGCCAACGGTGAAGTTGTTGCCATATCCACTTCGGCTGTGATGCTCACTGTGGCTCTTCTTGTGCGGAAAGGCGGTCAGGTGCTGGGCGGGCATGGAGGGGTGAGCTGCCGAGCTGCTGCTCTCCGCACAGAAGCTCAGAAAGGCGTGCAAAATGTCGATCACCTCCTGCACCGGATGACTCTGCACCAGCATCTCACAGTACTGCTCAAAGTGCGCCTCCGAGAGATCGTACAGAGCTTTGAGCGTCTTCATGACACTGTCCTTCAGGCGGAGGGCATCGGTCTCCCGACGACCTTCACCGCAGCCTCGTGAACAGCCCAGCTGCTTGACGATGCGAAAGAGGCTGTCCATGAAAAGGTGGTGAATCGACAACTCCACATTCTCCACATTCGGTTTGAACGTTTTATGCTTTTTGGCTGTGGATGATGAGGATGAGGATGGTGATGATGAGAGCAGGAACAACCGGAATAATAGTCGGGAGTTTAGGGAATCGAAACAAACAAAGATCACACTTACCTTTGTACATGCTGGCGGTGTGTTTGGTGATAATCTTCATGCTGATTAGCTTATTGATAATGTTGAAGATGATGCGACACGTTCGAATTGAGCAGACCGAGTCTTTGAGGGTGATAGAGTGGATGGCCTTGAGGATGACCACCAGGCTGAGCTGGCCGTTCTTGGTGACGTAGTTTATGGAGGCGAGCGATTCACTGCTCGTCTCCACACAGTAGTTGATCTCACTGTCCGTCTTACTCCTCGTCAGACCCGAGGGCCCTGCACAGGACTGCTGCTGCTGTAGCTGCTGCTGCAGCTTATGCTCATCGCCGATGTAGAACTTGTAGTTGGAGGCGACTGGCGTCGAGTCCTGCAATGGCACATCCCTACTCCTACCGCCACTTTCACTGTCACAGTTGAAGAACTGCATTGAGGCCACTGGTGAGTGTTCGGTGATGGTGATTATGGGAAAGGGTACACTTTGCACTGAATGCTGCTGCTGCTGATGATGCTGTTGATGGTGATGGTGGTGGTGATGATGATGATGGTGATCACTGCTGCTGCTGCTGCCGTTGTTGGTGGTGGAGGTGGTGTTCACGATGAGGGGTGATTTGGCACTGTCAGTTGGCGTCAGGTGAATGGTGGGAAAGCGTGAGACNGCATTGAGGCCACTGGTGAGTGTTCGGTGATGGTGATTATGGGAAAGGGTACACTTTGCACTGAATGCTGCTGCTGCTGATGATGCTGTTGATGGTGATGGTGGTGGTGATGATGATGATGGTGATCACTGCTGCTGCTGCTGCCGTTGTTGGTGGTGGAGGTGGTGTTCACGATGAGGGGTGATTTGGCACTGTCAGTTGGCGTCAGGTGAATGGTGGGAAAGCGTGAGACGTCGAGCGTGAGGCTGCCGCGTTTGTCGATTAGATGCAGCGAAGGCATGGACATGCCCTTCTGGTCGTTCCTGTCGATGAGCTTCGTCTCCGAGAGTGATACCTTTCGGTTCTTAAAGTCGTACGCCGATTTAAACTCTGTCGCTGAATTAGGTCGTTCCTGTTGGTTGCAGCTCTCATTGAAGTGCTGTTGCTGTTGCTGCTGTTGCTGTACAGTGACTGCTGCTGATGCTGATTTGTCTTTTTTAGACTTTCCCTTGCCCCCGTGTTTACCGCCAAATTCCTGGTGATGCCTGCCGGCAGTGTTCTGGTCGGAGCGTTGTTTACCTTCCGCCACCTTGCCGCCGAGTGAGTCGCCTTTCTTTTGCTTCTTGTGTTTAACTTTCTCGCTTCCATGGCGGCCGAAAGAGGCACTTGAAGTACTGCTGATGAGAGCTTGAAATCCCGATAGTCCTTTAAAGTTGTTGTGTCAACAAAGAAACAAACAAAATGTATAAAGAGAGGGAGGCAAGTGAGTGGACGAGTGGACGCCGCAAAGCGAACACACACAGAACCGATCAGAAAACGCACACCACAAACACACACACACACACACATACCTGGAAGTCCTGAGAAAGAAGACCGCCTTAGCTCTTGAAAGGAAGATCCCGTCTTCAGTTGAGTGCTCTCCTTTAGCGTTGATTCGTTGTCAGTCTTTGGACGGCATGATTTTGATTCCGATTGCTGCCTGCTGCTCTCCAGACACTTGTCGTCGCTTTTTCGCTTCGGCGTCGGCAGGGAGTTGCTGCGAAAAAGCGTCTCCCGCCGCTTCTCCCGGTACTTGCTGATGGTCTCCAGGCGACGGTAGAGAAAGTGCAACGCCCACTCGATGCCCTCCTCAATCCACTGCGAAGTGAAAAGGCACCGGAGGACGGCCACGTCGAGGTACGTCGCCAGAAAGGGCTCCACCTGGTCCTTCTCGTTGAACTCGTGCTTCTTCTTCAGGTCCTCCCTCGACATGAACTCCCCCTCGGCGGCTGCAGGCGACTCGGTGGCACGTGAGGAGGAGGGCGGCGGTGGAATGCTGGCGAAGGGATCACACGGGTCGATGAGCGGCTCTGCAGTCGACTTGCTCCCGTTCGCGCCGATGAAGACGTCGCCAAACTTGGGGGCGGCCACCTTCTTCTCCACTCGCGAGGAGAAGAACTTGCTCTTCCGAGCATGGGCGATGAAGCTGGGAATCCTGCGAAGCCAGGCAGACACAGCGAGAGCGGGAAAGAGCGAGAAAGAAGAGTAAAGGAGAGAGCAAAAAATAAATAAAGAAAGATGTAAACAAAAGTGCTTGAGCGAAGTGAGCACTCACTCTGGATGACAAAAGTGAAAGAGCGGAATCCATATCTTGTAGCCGTTCTCGAGGCGAAAGCTGGTGAGGAAGTCGGACTGCTTGAGATGAGGTATGAGCGGCGCGTACAAGTAAACAAAGGTCTGAATGGTGGTGATGGGCAGGAGGTAGTGCTCTGGCAGGCGATGAATGCCGCGCTCCGTCTCCGCGTCGGCACACTCCTCGGCCGCGTCCAGCAGGATCCAGTGGAGGGTGTAGAGCAGCTTTGTCTCTGAGGCGGACAACTTGTCGAAGGAACTTTTACGTCGGGCGTACAGTAGGGCAGCACAGCAGTGCATCACATGGGGCAGAGCGGCGACTATCATGCGCCACCTGAAAAGGGCAAAGGAAGAGAGAGAGAGAGAGAGAGAGAGAGAGAGAGAGAGAGAGANAGGGCAAAGGAAGAGAGAGAGAGAGAGAGAGAGAGAGAGAGAGAGAGTTCAGTTTGGTTAACGGGTCAGTAGGAGTTCAAGGTTTGCAAATAGAATAGAAACACGAACCTGCTGACACTATGAATGGCCTCAGTAAGGCTAGGTGAAAGACCGAATTGGATATTTTGTACGAGGACCTTCTCGAACAACTTGCACGCTTCGCGCTGTTCCATCGCCGCTGCATCCTGCAAACGGCTAATCTTGGGCCTGATGAATGGACTGAGAATTGAAAGGGGAGGGAAGGAAAAAATTGGTTGTTGAGAAACAGAAACAGGGGAAGGGTGTAAGTGCGTACCTCGTCTGGCGCCAGAGGAAGGTCTGAATAGGCAGCGGAATGGAGCTCGAGTCCCAAATGTCTTCGTCATCTTCTTCTTCTTTGTCCGTTTCATCTTCAGAACATTTCCGCTTGTTCATCTTTTGATTGTGTCAGCACAGCAGTGTGGTGACTGAGTGCGAAGACGACTGACTCTCAGCGTCACTACTACTGCGAGGAACTGCAGGGTTTGACTGGTCAGGTCACTGTTTTAGAGCATTGTGGAGTTGGAGGGCATCGTTGAGGGTTCTTTGGTGAGGTGGGTGAAAAAGAGAGGTGCTGAGGTGGTG